CAAGCAAGCAATTCACAGCTGCCCTTCACACACACAGAGACGTGCTTTAGGTATGAATGTACTTACCTGCGGAATTCTCACCGACATTACGAACTGACGCTTTGTACCGTGGGGACACCTTAGTGACCCAATGGTTCTCACGTCTGCCCTGCCATTAATTCTGAGCTGAGGCAGATGGAGCGCAGCTCCAGGGCCGCACGCGTTTGTGCTTCTGGTGGCAGCTCCATGCCCACGGCCGGGGCTCACACCTGTTCCTCATGAGCCCACACTCCACACCCCGAGAGCTCTAAGGCCACCTGGCGGGGATCGCAGTACCTGGCTGGATGGTCTCCTGTCCATCTGCTCCAATGGGCCTTTTCACACCTGTATCACAATCTGGCACAAGACACAGGGACAGAGTGAGGCGACTGTGTGACAACGGGAAGTGACTGGCGTGTCCTGAGTGTGGGGTGGGGAGGCTGGGATGGGCAGGGAATCAGAGGCCCATTGCTGAACTTCCGTGCTCAGCCTCTGTGAGTCTAGCACAGAGGAGAGGCCCCATGTTCCAACTGGTGGGAGGAGGCTGCAATGGGTCCAGAAAACCCCGCGGCTGGGTGTCGCTTGGATGTGCTGAGAACCAATGGTGCGACAGACACAGCGTCTCCTGTGGCCGCCCCCAACCCCTGGGGAATTCACACGCTGCCCAGGAAGAACAGGGATGTTGAAGCATGAACAGCGTCTCATGACTGGAAGCCACAGGCGTGGGACCCTCCATACCTATTTGTCCCGGAGTGCCTGGGGGGCCAGGAGGCCCAGGGAAGCCTGGCGGTCCAGGTAATCCAGCATCTCCGGGGAAACCGCGGTCGCCTTTGGGGCCAGGCAGGCCCAGTCCTGGGGGGCCGCTTTCTCCTGGAATGCCCTTGGTGCCGGGTGCTCCTGGGTAGCCTGCATCCCCTGGGGGGCCTTTGATGCCATCACCCTAGGAGAGATTCGGTTTCGCGTGTACCATATACGGAAACTTCACATTCAGCCATATTCCCAGCTCCCCTCCCTGTCCCCCGAATTCTGTGCTATGGATATGGATACAGAGCAGGAAGACGGCAGAGGCGAGCAGGAACCGGCACCCATGGTCTGACCAAGTCCCAGAAACAAAGGACAGACTATAGCAGCCACGAGCAACACACTAGAATGCAGTTCTGGAAGGCGTATGAGTCTGTTTTTCTTTTTCCGAGCCACTAGCGCCCTGCTTGGACCTTCATTCTCAGTGAGAATTCTGCAGGAGGACAGTTAGGCACAGATTTGGAACAACAGGAACAGGAATGCGTTGTTTTACTGTCAAGATTTAGCGTCTGTGACCCATCGGAAACAGAAAGGGAGTCTGGTCTGGACAAGAGAGAGCAGTGTGCTCATTAGAAGTAAGAAGAGATGGTAGGATGGAGGAGCAGGAAGCTGGGCCCCGTCCTGCTCAGGAAGCCACTCAGCAGGTGCGGAAGCCGGGGGTGGGGCCAGAGCGCTCAGAGGGGAGGGGCCGGGAGAGCCAGGGGTTAGGACGGTGCTGAGGGCACCCGGAGGGCAGGGTGGGGTCCGGGAGGGGGGAGGGGGAGTCCGGCCCCAGCGGTGTCCACCCTCCCCCGTCTGGCTCCGCCCTCCTCCGTCTGGCTCCGCCCTCCCCCGTCTGGCTCCGCCCTCCCCCGAGGGCTCTGCAGGTTTTCAGACATCCTCTTTCCACCACCTGCATGTCTATGTCAAAAATGAAGCTTCATATTTTATAACTGATCCTGGGAAACGGCGCTCTACCCTGTGTCCTAGAGCGTCCTGCCTCGTTCTCCGCTGCGCCAGGAGGGATGTTTACGGGCTGTTTCTTGTAAACGTTCCCTCTTGGCTTGGCTTCCAGCCTGACTCACTGTTTCCTGAAAACTACGATCTCTGCTCATTAAAAGAGGACGGTTTGCCAGGGAGGGTTCAGTGCGGAGCCAGCACGTCCAGCTCGGGCGTGCGGGGACATGACCCATCAGCGTGGGGCTGGGCCACCCCACCCCCGCGGTGACTCACAGGAGGGCCTGGGAGGCCCGGGAAGCCATCGAGTCCATCTCGCCCTGGGAAGCCATCGTCCCCTTTCGTCCCTGGCACACCTGGGACACCGGGCTGTCCTCGCTCACCTGGGAAAGGATTGCAGTGTGAGTCTACTCAGGCCGGCAGCCCGGGAAGGGGGACGGTCCACAGATTCCTGGCCACAAAGACTGACCTTTGGTGGTGATTGTTCTGGAATCTCCCTTTACTCCTTTGGGCCCAGGAGGTCCAGTCTCACCAGGGGCTCCCTGTGGACACAAACACAAAGTCTCTTTCTCCTTCCTACTGTTAGGGCACCTGGGAAGACAATGACTTTCCGTTTATACAACTCGAGGGTCTTTATCTGTCATCAAGCCCAGAGCCAGAGACTTCTGTCCCTGGCCGCCTGGCCCAGCACCACCCATCACAAAAGGCTTTGAGTGCTCGAATGTGGCCAGTGTGCCTGAGGCCCTGCATTTTTAATTTTAGTCGAAACTTTTTTTTCCTATGGTGGTAGCGGGGGTTGAACCACTGAGCTATACCCTCCCCACAGTGGTCAAAACTTAATGGAAGTAGCCACACACGGCTGGACAGTGAAAACCAGAACAAAGGATGGTCCCCAGATGGGTAGCCCAGCTTCCCGGGGGCTTGTTAGGAATGCAGAGCCTCGGGCCCCACCCCAGGGCACCTGAACCACAATTTGCATTTCAGCAAAATCCCGGGGGTTCATAAACTCAGTGACTTTGATTTACTATTTTTATTTAGTTTTTATTTTATTGGTGTTTTTGGTTGTTGTTTCTGTTGTTAATGGAGGTTCCGCCCCCAGCGTGAGCTCACTAACTCTGCAGAAGCTATGCGCTCCCACACCAGGCTGCCAGCTCTAACCCCGGCTTTGTGGAGCCCAGGCAAGAAGCAGGCCTCCAAGCACAAAGCAGGGGTACTTGGGGCCGTTTGACACAGAGAACAAGACAGCCTGTCTTCCTAACTGAAGGGAACCAAGGTTTAGAGACAATTCTTCGCAGGAACACACTTCAAGCTGTACACCCTCATTCGGGTCTTTCAGTGAGCAGAAGCTAGCCGCTGAAGACCTCAGGGCGCGTTTTAATGAGCGCGATACGTTAGTTTGGGACAAGTCTTGGTTGCTGTTATTCACAAGAAGATGGGAACTTTTAGTGTTGGTTTCATTAAATGGAATGTTTCAGGTGATTATGAGCTCTTTCCTCCGAAAAAAATTCCACAGGCACTTGATGTATTGATTCAGTTCTTTGCAGGGAAGGGTGACATTCTTTCAGTGTCCAGAACAGCGTCTCACACCCAGGAGGCGCTGGGCGAATGGATGGGCGCGTGGACTCATTCACTGACCGCCTGCTGCGCTCCGAGCCTCCATCAGACCCTACTGGTGTGCATAGAAGGTGACGTCTGGGTACACGCTCAGGCGTTCCTGTGGCGATGTGACCGGCGACACGTAAACGTATAATTAGATGCAAGGTAGACACGATACCTAGGTGTTTGAACACACGTGCTGTGGATGCGCAAACACCCTGGTGAAAGCACGTGCCCTCGGGAGAGTGTAGACACAACACAGGCACAAAACGCGATGCCTCTGACTTCTAGGCAATATTCAGCCATTTTACAAACAGTCGAAGATCCCACAGGTTCTGCCCTGTTTAGTTTGGAGTCTCACCACGGACACTTTTTCTGAACATTTGAACAACATGCTGAGACGGCCATGACTTGGAGACGGTATCATTTTTAAACTAGGAGAAAATGTAGCACCGACTGTTCGGCTGAATACAATGACTTGTCTCCTGAGGAGCCCCGGGCACTGGAGCAGCGAGGTGCTCTGCACCCCGTCTTCTCCGCAAAGCTCCTGCCCACGAAGCCCTCCTGCGCCAGCAGCTCTGAGCAGCCACCATGTCGCTGCGTCTGGACACGGAGTCACAGCATCTTAACCGTCCTTGGCCACGTGCCCTGGGCACTGGTTCCTCTACTGCTGAGAACATCGAACAACAGCTTTTCGCTTCACGCATCTCTTGCAGTTCTCTACTTAAAAATAAATCAGAAATATAATTTCTATGCCTTCACCTGAAATTTGCTTTGAATCGTTGGTGAGTTAAGACCTGCCACAGAGAAAGAGCTGCTCCACGGTCTTTTCGTAAGAAGTAGAATGAAGTCCACTGGGCTGTGGGACGCCCAGGGGTCCGTGGGCAGAGCATCATTCACCCAAAGTAAATGCACGGTTCACTTGGAAGTCTCACTTTTTGTTGAGTTAAGGGAGACTTTATAAAAAGCTAAATCGGTCCTACGCTAAATTTCAAGAGGTGAATGCTCAGTATGTAAGATACTTTACATTCAAATGCTAGCAGGGTTGTTTTTTTTTAAATATAATTCACATATCATAATATTAACCGTTTTAAAGTATACAAGTCAGTTGTTTTGTTTTAGTATTTTCACAAGGTTCTGCCACCATTCCTGTGACCTAATTCCACAGCATTTTCATCACCGACAGAAGAGACCACCACTCGCGTTCCGCCCCCCCAGCTCTCGGCGACCACCAGGCCACCTCTGTCTCTGGGTCCGCCTGTTCTGGACTCTCACTCGGGCACCGTACAGCATCTGTTCTCTCGCATCTGTCTTACGTCACTCGGCACGTCTTTGAGGGGCGCCACCCCGTAGCGTGCGTCAGCTGGCGCTCCTGTGGACGGCTGAATAACCCCCCGTGGGCAGGCAGCCCACGTTTGCTCTGCCCGTTCAGCAGCTGATGGGCATTTGGGTTGTTCTCGCTTTCCAGCTCGGACCGCCAGTGCTGCCGTGCGTGCGCTGCACGTGCGCACGTCGATGCACAGGTTTTGACGTGGACGCGCGTCTGCAGTTCTCCTGGGTCTGCACTAGGAGGGGGCTTTCTGGGTCACATGGCACATCTACTTAGGACTTTCTGAGGAAGCATCACACTGTTTCCCGTAGCGGCTGCCCCATTTCACATCCTTACCAGTAAAAGCTTTAAAATCCCTCCTGGTGTTTCTGAATGGAGCCCCGGGTGCACAAGGGCTGTTGCTCTGAAGTGGGGTTAACTTGACAAATAAAAGCCGGAAACGGGGGAGCAGGCACAGGTGTCAAGGATATCCTTCTGGCCTCGTGGTGAGCGGCTCTCTTACCTTGAAGCCCGGGAACCCGGGGATGCCATGCTGGCCCGGGTCTCCTTGGCCGCCTTTCCTCCCCGGCTCCCCATTGATGCCCGGGAAGCCCTTGGGTCCTGGCAGCCCCGGAAGGCCCCCGACAAACTGGTCGCCCTCTGCACACCTACAGTCCCCGGCATCACCTGTGGGGGGGGTGCGTGTTAGTCATTCAAGAAGCAGGTTTTAAACACTCCTGCTGGCTCTGCGGGGACAGGAGGTCCAGGTGGGCAGGGGCTAAGGACACACCACACTCTGCACACCACCTACTCTGGTCCTCACACTCTCCTTCTTAGATGAGAGGTACGAGTTACTGGTCTCCTCGGGGTGCAGAATTCTCTGACTCAATGTTTAAACATTTGCCAGATTTAGTGAAGACACTTAAAGAGGTGTGGATGGAGTTGGGGAGTCGGCTGTGGGAAGGCTCTGCTGGGCCTCAGGGGTCGGGGGAGGAAGGACCAGGGGGAAGGGGAACTGGAGGGAGGGCAGCCTGGCAGCGGCCATGGGCTTGGAGACCAAGGTCATGGTGGGTGAGGAAGAGATACGTGCCCTCCCTTCTATCTGGCCGCGGCTGGACCCACCCGAGCTTGTGGCTGGCGGTAGGGTGGGCTCCCGGGGCACGGAGGGCGACAGGTGATGGCTCAGGGGGCCGAGCTGCACCGCTGACCCTTGATGCCTGATTCCTGCAGGCGGCCCCATCCCCGATGGGCCTGATGCAGCCCACGCCCCACACTCACCCCAAAGGTCTGGGGGGGTCACACGCCGGGACACCCGGGGCTGGGAGAGCTAATAGGGCCCACCGAGGTCCCCCCGGCCGGCCATTCCCCACAATGATGGTGACATCCGAGTGCAGCGGGAGAGGAGCGCTCATTCCCACTGCCCCTCCGCCCCGCCGGGGAGCGAGGGCCGGGCAGGCACGTTGCTCCGAGTCTCGGCACCTCGCTCAGGGTGTCGGGTCAGGGCCAAACCAGACGATGACCCTACAGCCCTTTGCAGACTCTCGTTACAATTTCTAGGAGCCGAGCACTCGGATGAATCATCTGAATCCAGCCTGTGACGTCACTGCACATCTTTTTTCTCCCATGTTGGGCCCTGTGCTCCCTAAAAATTCAGTGATGAGGGTGGCGTACAGAACAGAGACAGGGGAGCCAACTGAGAGCAGGTGCACAGAAAATGCAGAGACTACGTCCCCGTGTGGTGTCCTCGGGGGTGGGGTGTGGGGTGTGGGGAAGGGGCTCCTGCTCATTTCAGAGCCAGGGAAGGGGTGACGTGGCTCCAAAGGGCCAAGGAGCTCCCGCCCCCTTCACTCCCAGGCATCCTCACCTTTCCATCCTTTCTGTCCACGAGCCCCGGGGAAACCCGACGGCCCCGGGTAGCCTATCCTTCCTTTTGATCCTTTAAGGCCGAAAAGGAAACCTGAGGAGAAAACCCACAAGGACGGCAGGTTAGCACAGCCTGGGACCTGCACCGCCGAGCCCCGTGTCGGACTTTTACAGCTGAGTCTCCCGCA